AGCGATCCACCCGCCTCGGCCTCCCAGAGTGCTAGGATTACAAGAGTAAGCCACCACACCCGGCCTTAATGGCCTCATTCTTAAAGAATGTCTCAGCCACAGTTTCCATCAATGGATCTGCATTCAGTGCAAACAGAGGCATATACTATAAGCACACTAGCATCCCACCATTGGGCTACGACCTGAGGAGAACCAAGGTAGCTTTCTCAGGCCTCCTGGACATTGTGGATGTATGGAATGATATGGTCGGAGGGTTTGAGAACCACAGGATGATTCCAATAGAGAAGGCCCAGGGGCCCATCCTCTTCATTGTTGGTCAGGATGACCACAACTGGAGGAGTGAGTTATATGCTCAAGTAGCCTCTCAACGGTTACAGGCACATGGAAAGGAAAAACCCCAGATCATCTGTTACCCTGGAACTGGGCATTACATCGAGCCTCCTTACTTCCCCATGTGCCCAGCTTCCTTTCACATATTACTGAACAAACCTGTGATCTGGGGTGGGGAGCCCAGGCCTCATTCCAAGGCCCAGGTAGATGCTTGGAAGCAAATTCTGGCCTTCTTCTGCAAACACCTGGGAGGTACCCAGAAGAGAGCTATCCCCAAACTGTAATGCATTGTCTGTTGTTGACCTGAGAGATTCAAGGTCAGATTGTAGTCTTCAATAACCCTGTGTGAATCGGATATGTCATGGATAACATTAAATCCACGTCTTTGCCGTTAATGGTGTATTTTAGGTAACTTTAGTAAATAAGTTTTGTCATCAATTTTACTAATGTAACACTTCTGGAAGATTCAGCTGTATGTATAATAACACAAAAACATAAAAAGTATCTCTCCTTTTAAAATTTGTGTTTTCTTCCAATTTTTTTCAGTTAATGTTTTAAGCCACAGATGAACTTTGAAGCTGTTGACTTTCTCTGTCACTGTGAGAGAATGGTCATCTAATGATTGCTTTTGAGCTACTGGTAGTAGGATACAGTTGTCTTTCGCCAAAAGAATAGAGAGAGGTGTTGATATAAGGATAGGCCACTGACCTTTTCATTAGAGATGTCAGAGAAGAATCCTTTGAGAGGAGTAATTGGGGGCATCTGTCTCTAGAAGAGTTAAGTCTAAAGACTGCTCCATGAATGAATGTCCCTCTCATTTCCTGGCTCTAATAACAGACCTTGGAAAATCACAGAGTGATAATCTTAGAGGAATCATTTCTCACTTTGTCATCAGGCTACAAATCACCATTAAGTATATTTGAGGAGATAATGGCTGAGAATTTTCCAAAACTTTGTCAAAGACATCAAGCCACATATTCAAATAGCACTATAAACCCAGGCACAATAAATACAGAGAAAACCCTATCTCATACTTACCACAGTATGTGGTAAAGCAGTAAAACTGTTCATGGAATTTTTAAAACATACCTGTACATTCTTTGACATTTCTCCTATAGGTGGGAGACCTATGTCCCTTTCCTTCAAGTCTGGATGGACTTCTGACTGCTTCAATCAGTAGAGTAGAGCAGAAGTCATGCTATGTGACTTCACAGGCTAGGTCATAAAAGGCCATGAAGATTCTACTTTGTTTGCTGGGAACAGCTACTTTGGGAGCTTGAGCCACCATTTGAGAAGCTTGTCTACCTTGAAGCTGCGATGCTGTGAAGAAGCCCCAAACACCCAGAGAAGCTAACTGTTGGCACTTGGCTGACAATCCCAGCTGAGGTCAGCCTCTGAGTCATCTCAGCCCAGGTGCCAGACATGTGAGTGAGAAAAGCTCTAGATGATTCTACCCCCACCTGTTTGCATCTTCCCAGTGAAGGCTTCAGATAACCTAGAGCAGAGCAGAGGTGTCCCAGTCAAGCTCTGTCAAATTGCAGATTTGTGAGCAAAAGAGATTGTTCATGTTTTATGTGACTATGCGTTGAGGTGTGTTTCAGTTATCTATTGTGTAACAAACCACCCCAAAACATAATGGATTAAAACAATAACCATGTATCCTACTCAAGTCTGCAAAGTGGACAGGACTCAGTGGGAGTGGATCACTCCTGTTCCAAGTGGCGGAGGCTGTGGCAGTTGGAGAGGTTGGAGGATCTACTTTCATGGCAGGGATGTTGGTGCTGGCTGCCAACTGGGAACTCAGGCAGGGCTGTGGGTTGGGGGGGTTCTAAATTTCTTTCCACCTGGGCCTTTTCATTGGCTACTTGGGATGAGTTTCGAGAATGAGCATCCCAAGACAGCAAGGCTGAATTGCATGGCCTTGGTTTGACATAATGTTGGAAACTACATACTATCACTCTTGCCATAATCTATTGGTTAGGCAGTCAAAACGCTCACCAAAGTTCAAGAAGAACATAGAGTCCACCTCTTGAATGGAGAATGGCCAGCTTGTAGAAGAGCATGTAGAATGGGAAATGTTGTAGCCATCTTTGGAAAATAGCATCTGCCTTCTGGCTACACATTCCTCCCACATGTCAAATGTACACGTCCTTCCACTAAACCTCCTCTACCCCCCACAAATCTCATTTCAATACAGTAACACACTGAGGCTTAAGATCCAAGATCTCATCATCTGTATCAGGTCTAGGTACAGAAGAGTCTCCTCAGAACAGTTCCTTGGGTACAGCTCCTTGAGTATCATTCTTCTGAATCTGAACACTTTTGAAATAAAGGAACAAGTTAAGTGTCCTCAGAGACATGCATAAGACAACGCGGGGAGAGGTATAAGATAACCCCCATAGACATTCCTGTTCAAAAGTGGAAAATGGGAGGCACACAGCCATCACTGGCCCTTAGCCACTCTGAAATCCGCCTGAGAACATGCTGCCAATTCTTTCATCAGTACTCAGTTTACTCTCTGTAAACTGAGTTGTTTACAGTTACTGAGTTGTTCTCTGTGGCTCTTGGTCACACTCTCTGAGTTGAAATCTCTATTTTCCATAAGAAAATGAATTAGCAACTAAATAGCCTGCTCAACCTGCTTCCTAGGTGGAAAGGATTGGCAGCCCAGAGTTCTCTTTTTATTTTGCACTCCCCCATCCCCCTTTAGCTTGAGGTCATAGTGCTTCCACCAGAACACTTCTCTTAAAAACTTTGGGGGTCTTCCAAAAATCTCAGTGGGGTTCACTCCATTAGATGGTTCCTGGCTATAAATCTGTTGGAGGTAAGAACAGCCCTATCTTGGGCTCCCTGTGAGGATGCTGCAGGACAACACCCTTAAGATTCCCAGAGTTTTATTTTATGGACAGGCTCAGTTTGGCACACTCTTGATCTCTTTAGAGAGCCTTTTGTCTATCTAAAATTTTTAAAAATTTTCTTAGAGCTGGGTCTCCCTATGTTGCCTAGGCTGGTCTCCAACTCCTGGCTCAAGCAATCCTTCTGCTTCCTCCTGCCTCAGCCTCCCAAGTAGTGGGGATTATAGGGGCGAACCACTGTGTGCAACTCCGAGCGCTTTATTTCTCATAAAGGGTTGTAGCCTACAGGCTAGCTTTTTCCCAGGCTTGGAAGTGTAGCCTAAGGTCTGGGCACTTTGAAGCAGGGAAGGATTAGACAGGAATTTATGATGAACGGGTTGGCCAAGCATATATATTTAACAGGTTACAGGAAGAGATTGATTCATGAAGGGGGGACATGCACATGTGTAATAATGAAACATGCATGTCACGTGCATTTCATGTTCACTTTGAGATGGAAACTCAACATTTAAATAGATTAAAAGAAGGCTCTATAAAACAAAGGCAAAACAGGACACAAAGGTATCTGGGGAGTAACCTTTGTAAACCAGTCAGTACCAGTCCATGATCTGTCATCTCTTATCTAGAATAAATACCAGTCAGTTGTGTAAATCAGCGGCAGAGCAAGTCTCTCAGAGTGGTTTCTGGCTGGGCATGGTGGCTCACACCTGTAATCCTAGCAGTCAGGGAGGC